AAAAAAAAAAAAAAAAAAAAAAAAAAAAAAAAAAAAACCATCTATATACTATATGCGTGCCTAGTCAAAGATATATATCACGAAGGGTGCTGCCAACAAGACAAATCAAAAGTGGAAAACAGACGACTAAATTTAGTAAAATAATGTGTATATGTGTACACGAGTGTAACAATCGAAAATAGTTACACGATAAAAACCAAAGAAAAAAAAACACGTTACAACGTTGTTAGATTTAGCAAATAGTCTTGGTGGCCGTCAACAAGGTTGAAATTATTTGTTTTAGTCCTGGATATTATAATTTATTGGTTTCGTTAAAAATATACTCGTTACACTACTCGATCGCGGATAAAATATAATTACAATAATAATTATAATTTTAATAACAATTTTAGAATGTGGTCGTTGTTAGAAAAGTACTAATATATAACAGCTATCTTGTGTTTTAGAAGACAATTTTTTTTTTTTGTGAGAAATAACTGTAATTTAACATGGCCACTAAAGATATATGTATACTTTATGTATTTCATTTTATACTATTTAAAGCACAGAATATAAACTTTGGTAAACCTGTCTTAAAATTAACCGGAGACTTTCCAAAAAAAACTTTACAATACATTTTATGGTGATCGTTTGATAAATTATACCTGGACAATTATTCACCGTTCTTTATTCACCAAATTTAAATATTTAAATGAATATCATGCCTTTTATTCGATTTTCAGAAATATCGTACAATATGGGTGTAATAATTTCCGATTTATTGGCATGTAAAATGCGAATGAATTCAACACAGCATAAATCTACAAATATTTATGTTAGTATTCGTATGAAAAGAAGAAAAAAAAAAACATTTTAACTTATATTAATTTTTCGTTTAATACATTAATTTTGCCTCTCACCTATGTTCATTTATATAGAAACTTTAAGTATTCTTTAATGGGAAATATATATTTTAAAATAATTCCGAATCCTTATCAATATAAATATATATCTTATAAAATGTATATCATTAAAGTTTGAAAACTATTAACTTGCAGTGCTGATCACAAATAGTATATTATTACATATAATGGTTATAAAATTTACCATAATAGATAAAACGCAACATAAAATTAAATTATAAATAAATTAAATTAGTTGTTTATCGTTTCATTATGTACTCATTTATACACTTTTACCAATTCATAGTTTCCAAACTTTTAAGACACTATTAGAACTGTGTGTACGCTATATTCAACAGTTCAATGAAATATTATTGGAGTTATTACCGGCTATTACTATTATAAATACTTTTTATTATCATAATTAGTTACTAGTTATACAGTTTTATGAAATGTATAGTTTATACATATTAAAATTATTTTCTAGAAATATAATAAAATCAGCCATGCCGAGCATACAAATAATAAACCAAAATTAGATACCTCACAATCTTGAATATTGTAGTCTTTATCTTGTAGCATTTTTATCGATTTTCTTATACTTCTGATTTTCAAATGAACTGTAATTATTGTTATTAAAATATTAAAAAATGTTGGTGTAATTATGTCTAAACCAGAATTTACCCCACCAGAAAGCGTTTTGAAAACCAACATATCTAAATTGATATTTAGAAGATTAATTTTTTTGTACTGTCGATTTGTATGGTTTTTAAATAACATCTTATAGTATACAAAAAAAAAAAAAAAATAATATTTGTATAAAAATGAATTATATCCATCGTATAATATATGATGTGCGTATATGTGTGTGTTTGTCTATATAAATAATTTTGAAAGACAAAAATATCAATGTGAAATTTGCGTCGAAGACTTTAGTAGACAATATCGGAGTATACGAGTATCTAAGTCGTTTTGAGTTTCAGTCGAGTGATTGAATGTAATCTTATTATAGGATTCCACAAACTCGTGAAGTATAAAGTAGCGGAATATTTGATCAGGCTCCGTGCCTTTTATTAAAATAGCCCGTAATAATAACAATGCTCACATGATGTGCCTCATAATAAGACGCAAACTTCGTTAAGAGCATTAATCAACTATTAAAATCTCAATCGATTAATTTAAAACTATTTCGACCGCATTGCACATCAGTTATCAGATAGATAATATATGTATAGTACAGTGCAGATATCCGAATTGAACGCATGTTTGTTTTCCAACTATCTCCGTTATACAAACCTGTTTCATTTTATAATCGTTTTCTAAAGTTGTAATATAATATTATTCTAAAAATGAATTCACAAAATTCAAAAAGAGATACACCCATCAAAAAATCAACAAGCTCAAGTCATTCAAATCAACATCAACCAAAAGAACCAATATTATCTGACATCTGGAATTTGTTAACTTTTATACAATCTAAGGTATCTTCTCACGACTCTCATTTAAAAAATATAAACAGTAAATTATTACATTTAGAGAATAACTACAGCTCTATGAAAGCGTTGATAGACGATTTTCGTTTAGAGTTGTTCCAGTTAAAAACAGACCAACATGCTTTAGAATCTGAATTATCTTCGATTCAACAAAAAGTTGTTAAATTTGAAAATACTCAAACATCATCGCAATTTCTCGATTTTAATAATATTTATAATGAGTTCCACGATAGAATTACTAGGGAACAAAATATCCTTATCTTCATGTACCTGATTCTGCTCATGAAGTATCTTCTTATTCTGAATTAACTGTCCAGGAATTACTTAAAGATTTATCTTTGTTTAATATAAAAATTGTACATACTAGACGTTTGGGAAATTGTGGACAAAAACCCCGACCTATCTTATTAAAATTAGAGTCATTCTCTGATGTAAAAAATGTTCTCAAATCAAAATCTAAACTACGCTACATTGATCGTTGGCATCAAATTTCGATAAGTGAAGATAAAATAGCTACCCGACGAGCTTACATGAAGCAGAACTTGGCCAGAAAAAGTAACAGCGGCGATACAAATTGGTTCATCAAATATAACAAGGGCACTCCATTCCTGATGAAAAAAAAAACTAATTTTCCCCGATCTGGTGATTATGTAAATAACATTTATTTTAATATTAATCGTAATTCAACTTCAAATTGTAATTTTAAATCGTTAAAAAAAAAAAAATACTGTAAATCGTTAATAGGTTATTATCAAAATACACGTAGTATTTATTCTAAATTAAATAATATTCAATTGTTTGTATCGTATTCTAACTATGATTATTATGTAATAACTGAAACGCGGTTAAATAGCGAGATATTAGATAATGAACTTCGTTTTTTACAATATAATATCTTTCGTACTGATAGAGGTCCTCATAATAGTAACTGTAGTCGTGGTGGTGGTATAATGATTTGTGTTCATAATAAATATCATTCAGAAATAATCAGTATTCTAGATAATTGTATCGAACAACTATTTGTTTTAATTAAATTGAATAATAAAATAAAATACATTATTGGTACTTGTTATATACCTTCCGGTAAATTGGTTTCTTCATATCTCTTTCATATTCAAACCATTGAAAATATATTATCAAAATACAACAATAATGTTGATATTTTATTAGTAGAAGACTACAATTTACCCGGCTCTACTTTTACTAATGATAATACTGGTTTAGTTTTAGAAGGAGTCCACTCAGTACAAGCACAGATTATTTTTGATTCTTCTTCCCTTTTAAATTTGTATCAACTAAATAACACTGAACATTTAAACGGCTCTATACTTGATTTAGTTTTCACAAATATATCTAATTTAGTAGTTCACAACGAATTGAACTCTTTATTTAAAATAGACTCTTATCACCCATATATATCAATGGTGCATTATTATTCAGATAATATTAAAAACTATAAAAATAATGATAAAACTCTCTTTAACTCTAACTTTAAGCATGCTGATTTTCAAGCAAAATCTTTAGCCTTAGGACTATTTGTTTGGAACATTTTAATTGGTAGCGTAAATATTGATTTGGCTATTTTTAATTTCTATGAAACTCTT